TTCAGGAATGAGTGCCCAGGGTGCTCCCAGGAACAGCATGAAACTCACTTCAAGTTACTGCTCCAAGAGTCCCATCTCAGGAAAACACTTTCATCAACAAGACAGTAAGAGCCTTTCTACCAGAACACCACGACTTCCAGATGAGTAACTGAGCACTGGTTCTGATGGTCTGGGTCTCCTTCCTAAATGGGATTAGTTACTGCAATGCTCCTCTGCAAAAGGAAGACGACTTGAACCTGACTTCGTCCACAGTTGACAGCTGGCTGGCCGAGACACTTCCCTTCCCCTAAAACTTCACCACTGATTCCAATTAGGGAGACAAAACTCTTCCAGATAAATTCAGTCCCAACCACTCCATTTCCCAGAACAGCTTTGGAAATCTACTGGCATCAACATTTTCAGAAATTCTCAACCATCTACTCAGCCTTTGTTAGCAAAATGACTTTCTGTATGAAGTCGAACACACAGCTGGTGAGAGAACTCCTGACAGTGACTCCGAGAAACCCCACACCAATGCTGCCAACACCATCGATGGATGAAAGGGGGTTCTTGAAGACACTGCTTTTGGTATGAAGGGATGTCAAGCAAAACAAACCACATGCAAATCCCATTTTCAGGAGATCAGAGAACAACTGTGGCCAGTTGCATATCTGTTTTTTCTTTATCTGCTTTATCCACTTCTCTAGCAGAGCAATAGACAGCATGAGCTTGGCCTGATCTGATGTTACCTGTTTGGCCAGCTGGCTGGCCAGGAACTGCATGTAGCTGGAAAAATGTACTTGCTACTGTTTTCTGGTGTGCCAACGAGGCTGTGGAGCTGCCAGGAAGAGTGTGAAATCAGGATTTACTCGGACTTCACCTGGCACAAAAGTTGCTAGAGTTGGAATGGTAAATTGGCACATGCAGTGTCTGATTGCATAGTATTTACTTCATTACAAATCCAAGATAAAACCCAAGAAGTCTGTCACCTAAAAGTAACAGAGACCAGCACTCAGTCACATCTGCATGACACCTCTGCTCCCATACAAATATTTTTGAGAGCTTGGCATTATCATCAGTGCATGAACACCTAGCAAATCGTACACAAAGACATTCAAAACACAGCAACTGTGATTTACACATGGAAAATTTCAGTGACCAAATGCTGCAAAATATCTACATTAGATCAACCCCACTTCAAACTTTTATCCATTTAGTTTAGCTCCCACAGCCAGCTAATGCACTCTGTGCTCATTTTCCTTCCCTTCTGTTTCAAGCACCCACGGAAGGAAGGCTACTTTCAGCCCTTAGGTCTCCAGTTTAATACTTCATGAAGGACAGATGTCACACTGACATTGTGGATCAGACCACCCAGCCTGAGAAATCCAGGAAGTCAAAGATTAATTGCAGCAAGCTTCACATCTCCAGACTTTTTTTTAAAAAATTATAATTTGTTTAATTTTATTTTACTGTTTTAAAAGATCCAACCCTTATTTGTCAAGCTGTAAACATTTTTAATGGATTATCATACTTACAAAACAGAGTTTATTACCCCTCAAAATGACATCAACAAACAAAAGCCTATTAGTGCAGCATCTCACCCTGGGGATCTACTGCTCTTAATGGTCATTTCATTCAGATCATCACTTCTCTTCACCCATAGGTTAAGAGACTACGTTTAATAAGGGCCTCATCTTGCACTCAACAGCAAAGCTGACCCCAATGACTGAAAGAACTACAAGCTCTGACAATGGGTGCAATCAGATTTGTTTTGTTTTCTTATTCCTCATTAGCACAATGACATGAGAACACAATATTCCTCATTCCCTGTGCTGGAAACGTCTCCCCAGCAAAACCCACCATCTAAACATTCTGATTTGTACACAAGCAAGCTCAAACTCTTTACCTGCACTTTAGTAGAAGAAGCAGATGCTTCAATGCAGAACCATCAGCTGCAAAACAAACTGCTAAAAATATAAACAAATTTCTCATTATCCTTTGAGCTTCACCAGACCAACAACAAGAACGGGGGAATTTAGGAAAGCCAAGCCCTGTGCCATCAACAGTCAGCAAACACTTGAACAGATGTTACTGGAGAAGGTTAATGTTGTGAGCCTTGATCCTTATCACAGGAATTGCTAAGCTCTACCTGGGTGCCTCTGACAGGTGATGCCTGATCTACAAGAGTCACTGCTTTAGCAAACCAGGATGCAAAACACCATGGCAGATGGCAGAGCATTGTCTCATCCCACCTCTTGTTCCTTGCTAATTAATGCTGCTGTTTTTCATCTGCTTCTTTTAAAGAGAGGGCTGCAATGACGATGAAAAGCACAATTCTGTTCAGCCAACTGAGCAACATGCTTGTGGAGCCTCCCATCATCTGCCTAAAGGCTTTGCTGATGTTTCTCAAAAGGCAATGGCAGCCACTTTTGAAGATATGGTAGAAGAGGGAAGCACAGTCATCACACAGAGCCCATCTCATTGCTCTTCAGCAATTTCCCCCCTGTGCTGTAGCCCAATGTCTCTGGAAGAAGGCTCTGAGGCAGGCAGCACTGTGGGAACCAGTTCATTTCAGTAGCAATGGCTGCAGCCCTGGGTTTGGGCAGGGATGAGCCTGTGGAGAGGGAAAGAGAGTACACTGCATGATCTTTGGCACTGCCATCTCTTTAGCTGGTCACCTGCAATCAGAAAACAGCAACCAACCTAAGCACACAAGCACAGCCATGGAGGAATGCAGCAGCTTGCTGCTCTCTGAGCAGACTGAAAAGAAACCACAAATTACCTGCCAAGCCCAAAAATTCTGAAGCGTTTCTCAACTGGAGTGTTTTGGGTTGGTTTGTTTGTTTTTCCTAGAAAGCCATGGGGACAATTAACTGTAGGGACACTTTTATCTCTTTGCTACAAATGGTGAAACCCCTTCAGTTGTCTGATTCCTAGTTTGCTCCACAACTATCCCGGTGAAGAAGCAATGAACAAGGAACAACTGCCCATTTGCCTTTTCCTTCCTGCTCTGCTTAGGTTTAAAACCCCCCAAAAAAGGGCTAACAAGTCTATCCAGAGACCACAGCTTTGTTATTTCTTGCTTTCCAGAGCAATGGCCTAAAACTCAGGAACCAGAGGGTAGCTGTGCCATGTTGTGTTGGCTTTCTGCTGCAAAACGTGTGTTGGTTTCCCAATCCATTGCCACATCTGGACGTCAGGCAATTCTTCCTCCCCCCACTCCAATAATTAATCCATACACAATGCACAACTTCAAGTCTGCAGTTGCTTTTCCAAAAAACACATTCTATGAGGTGTTTGCTTTAACAACAGTCATCCCTGCAAAAGCTATCAACTATCTGCTGCGATCCTGCTCCCTCCTGAAATATTTTCCTGTTAAATACATTACTGTCTCGCAGGAATTCATTACTTTCCATGCACACACTAGCTGCCTCATACTTTCTGGTCACATTGCTATCAAAAGTGAAACTCAAGGTTAAGCCTAAACTAGGAAGATCATTACCTATTTGTATAGGCAAAGCAGCCTGTTTCAGGGACTGACCACACAGAAACACCCCCTCTGACACAGGCTGGAAAATGCAGACAGACTAAATCTGCCTTGTTTCTTTTAAAAATAGCACTGAATAAAGGGTTCCTTCATTTTAGGCAGCTCTCCAGGAAATTGGAGCATTCTGCGATCCGCTCCTCTGGATTACCTGCTCACATCTCCATTTCATTCAGAAAGCTGCCTCGGTTTGTGTAGTGAATTAAATTCCTCTCTTCCCAGCAGGAAAAGAAAGTTTGTGGTATCCAAAGATTAACTAAAGTAAGCCACAAGGGAAGCAAGCAAGCACATATAGAGCCCTACGTGGCAAAACAGCAGTGTTTCACTTACTCTATGTAAGCAGCCAATCTTTGCCAGCACTGGTTGGTTGACTTTCCACCCTTACATAAGCTACTTTTTGGAAAAGAGCAGCTTTTTAGAACAAAATGCAACTCTGTCAATAAGAGAATCACAGTCCATAAGCAACTCATGGGGAGATTGTAAAAACCAGCCTAAAATGAAGAGATTGGTCTAAACTTTTCTGTGAACATTCACTGAGTGTCTGATAAAATACATATTTTTTTACATATCTCAGACATATTTTTTTACACATCTCAGAATATGCCAGCTCTACCATTTTTAAAGAAACATAATAGAAAACCACTTAGTTGATTTTTTTCTTTTAACCTCTTGCCAATAATGTTATAGATATACACAGAAATAGGAAATACAAGTGTTTTACCAACCCTACACCACACAGGCAGCAAGTCCTACTTTAAAACCTTGCCCTACAGCTGAACTAGATCGCATCCAAACAGACTGAGGAATTTCCTTTACCCAAGCTCTGAGCAGGCCAGACACTGATTAAAAGGACACAGAGCACACATCCCCTGTCCTGCCTTTCTGGGGGTGCAGATCTGAAAAGCCAGGCTTTCTTGGGGCACAAAAAGGGCAGGGAAAGTCTACAAAAGTCAACCCTAATTCTAGATGGTGGCATCTTAATGAACGTCCTGTCATCTTGAGGGGTCATCTGGCAAAGGCTACGCACTTGGGTTGGTGCAGAGTTTCTGGAGAGTCTCCTAAGGAAGAGGAAATATTCTGGAAAGAAGGAAAAATAGGGAATGAGAGCTGAGGAGTTATGAACAGGCATCAGTGGGAAGGTGCTATCGAATCTGAGCGGCAGCCATCGTTACTCAGTGGTGGTGAGGCAAAATGATCTGAGAGAAAGGCACAGAGATAGCATGAAAGCTAGCAGCACATCTCTGCCCTTAAATCTCTTCTTGGTAATCTGCATGTAAAATAAATATTCAAAAAGTCATGCAATGTAAAACAGGAAAGTGCACTGGCCTTTTAGCAACTCCACTTGTGCTTAACTTCCTATTGTAGATTAACCCCCAGCAACATCTGCAACTGCACCATACAAAAACAACCTTTTGTGGACAAACCTCTTTGACATCAATAGCAATAACTGACTTGTGATTTAAAACGCTTCACCTCAGCCACTGGAGCCAGCCTGGTTATGCCAGCCCTTGAAGATGCACAGTCCAAAGTCATCTGAAGGGTGATACAAAAAGAAAGGATATATCAGATTCTTCACAAAAGTCTACACAAGAGAAACAAACTGCAAACAGCTGCCCCGTCTTCACTAAGTACTAAAACAAAGATATCTTTTCTGCCACAGTTCTTCTCTGCAAATCCTTTTCACTAAAAATCCCTTCTCAAAGCAATGCTGGCCTCAGCTGAAACACTGATTTTTTTCCTAGCTATGCAGAATTACAGCATACTAGAGATGCAACATCTCACTTTCCAGCTTGAGAAGCAAGGACAATTCTCCTTTTCAATCTTCTCCACAAAGAAAAATCACTCTCTACTAAATAGAAAACCAGTAATGCTCATAAATGCCTTTTCCTACAGTTTCTAGGAAACTGAGAACAGGAATTGGAAAGGAAAGAGGTGTTTATAAAAATTACGAGTCAACAACGTTAATTATTACATTGCAACACCAGTGCCTCATTGATTAGAAGCAGCATTTGTTCTCATGCAGAACACGTTTAACATCCTTTATATCTGATACTGTGAAAGTACAAGAGAAAAAACCTTGATGGTCAAACTCTCAATACCTCCCTGCTTTTGGGACCAACCGCCCCCATCCTTTCTCCATGTTTGTGTCTTTTTTTCCACCTCCCCTCTTTGCTGTCACCCAATCTCTGTCAGCTCCACAACAGAGATCTTCCACATCAGAAATCTTGGATCCCCATAGGAATGTTGAGAAACTCATCCAGTAATGGCAAAGAGAGACCATTTAGTAACAAAAGAGTCAAAAGACAGCCCTCCTTGTGAGGCAGGTCATGTAAATCGTCTCAATTTGAAGAAATGGGGGCATACAGAGGTTAACAGCTTGCCCAGGGCTTCACTGTGAGTCATTCCAAAGCCAGAGGCTGCAGCAGGCAGCCCCAGCTCTTGTTCCGTCGCTCTAATCAATTAACCACTTTTCCTCCTCAGGATTCATTCTTCTTTCATGACTGATGAGTCAGCTGCTGTTTAAGAAAGGCGTTAGAACCCGTTCCATGATGAGAGGCTAATTCCTCCTAGCACATGCTGTGGGTATTACACGACCCCACATTACTGAGATAATCAGTCCATTGTCTCAGGATGTTAATTGAGACAAATGGCGTAATGAGTCATGCTTAGGTGTCTGCTTCTGTGTTTCCCCCTCATTTTCCTGTTCCTGAGATGAATGCCCTTATTCCCAAGGGGTGACTGCTGTTCTTCCTCTGAGCTCTGCTTCTGGGATACTGCGTGCACTTGTGATACCTAACTTGCAAAATATTCTGCTCATGCAGATTTGTTATTTTCAGTGTCTCTGGAGAATTCCTTTTCTGTGCCAAGTGTTTTTGAGGTTAAAAGCAAATAAGAACTGAATCAAAAAAACAAAACAAAACAAAACAAAAAAACAAAAACAACAACAACAAAAAAAAACAGCCCTCCTTACTCCCTCCTCTTAAATCAAAAATGAGTTTATAAGCTTTGCCATTTGGGATTTTGGTTAAACCATTTCATCAGCCCTATCAGTCAGATGTTATGTGGGAGCCAGACCTCTTCACTCACAGGGTCACAGATGGAGGAGCAGAGAGCAAACAGTGCTAAGTCCTTTACAGCAGGGCCTGAACTTTGGGATTTGCCCCTTGCAGGGGGACTCAGTTCCACAGAAGCAGCTGCTTGGAAAACACCACCCAAATCATTCCTCCAGAGAGAAAACCCACGGCTTTCAGAGCTGAAAAGATGGGCTGCAAAAGCTTGAGCTAAAACCTTTAGCCAACATTGTGGCACTCACTCATTAATGGGTAGCTGTAACTTGGGATCTGCTGCTTTCTCTTTTCTTTTTTAATCCTAGTGGGTTGCAAAGCAGAGCAGTGTTTCCTTCATGCCCTGCTGAGGTATCCAAGCCCTGCTTCTCCCAGTTGGTTCAGGTTGAAAGAGATCAGAGCAGCCCTGTGCCTTACACACAGATCAGTGCTCACCTCCTTGCCTGTAGGCACATCCAGGCCCTCCTTGCAAGCACACACCTCTTTCTGTCTGCATTCCAGGTGAGGTAGGTATGATCTGGTCTCAGGCTAATCAGCACTTGGGCCACTTTTGCATGGCCCCAACGACCCAGGCTTGTTGCCATACCAATGTGGCTGCACAGCTTGTAGACAGATGACACTGACTCTCACAGAGCTGGAGCAGACACTTCAGTACTCACATAAAGCCATGGAGCCAGGCTCTGCGTTTCTGCAGGCTGATCTATTTCTCCGTTTCAAAATTTCACCTGGTGGGAGAAAAACTAGTTCTGATATAGATCCCTGCAATCTTCCCTTAAAGGGAAATCTTCTGTGACATGGGCAACCCCATCTATCACCTGAGAACTTTCAGACATGGTTGAATTCAACACCTGCATGTTATCTCTCAGCTTGCATTCAATGGCTAAAAGGAAACAAGTAGTTCTTTTAAGTCAAAATGTTGTTTAGTGTTATTTGTAGAAGCTAAACATAATACAAAAGCAAAACAATTTTAACACAGTGAAAGACTTGCAAAGAATGCCTTTCATTCATTGGAAAATGAAATCTTCCCTAAGAGTTCCAGTGTGAATTAGGCTGAAGTATGCACACAAAAGAAGAATGCAACAGAGACTCACTGTAACCATCCATGGCCATGCTCAGCACCACTAAATCATTGCATATCAGGCACAGCCACAAGTCCAGCAAAAGTTTTTGAAAGGCTTAGCAAAATGGCACAAGTCTGCGTGTAAATAAATCCCAAAGCAGAGCTGGCAAAATCAAGTCAGTCAAATGTAATGCTAGTAGCAGTACCACAAGATGATGAAAAATTGTGGGTTTTGGACAAAAAAAATTGCTAGGCTTCATTTTAAGAGATCACATCTATCACCCCCACTTCTACCAGTCCACCTGTACTAGGGCTTTCCATGGGACACCTCAAATACAGAAAGATGACAACAGCCACAGAAGAGACAGCAGAGATCCTCATGCAGGGTGCCCACAGAGGCTGCTGAGGTGCAGCTTTATAAGAGGTAAAGCTTGGCTCCGTGTTTCACACCCTCAGTCGAGCCAGGTTAGAGGAAGGCAGCACCATTAGAGGGAAGCAGAGTATTCACTTGTGCACTCCTATGTAAACAGCAGTTAATGAGGCAGTACGTTTTAAATGATCCGCTTTTACACCGCTTTTTTTTCATTGGGATTGTAAGGAGGTGCTAAAAGCCAGATCTAGTTACAAATACCGACCCCAAAATAGAGCCCTAAATGTTTAACAAGGTGCTCTCCTCATATCAGGCAGAATATCTCTGATTTGGATAAAGGTAGAAGCTGCCACCGGGGTGTTTCTTAGCTGGCCCCAAAAGCATCGTTTCAGTTATGCCTTTCATAACTGCTTAAGGAACAAACCTGTTTGGATTTTTGTTTCCAGCCAAGAAACGCAACACGTAACAATGCAGCCACATTCCAGCAAGATTTGGTTATGAAAGTTGTTTCCTGATAAGCTGTGAAATGCCAACAAGTTATTTGACTGCTGTTACAAAGAAAAGGGTTTCCCCTCTATGCTGGCCTAGTTACAACTGAAAGATAGTTTTATGATTTGGGTTTTTCTTTTCTAAATCTTTAAATAATTACGTGTGAGAAAGCTCAAACATTTATTTTCCTCCCCATCGCAGTTCTTTGCAACTTCCATCTGACTCTTCAAGCCTGGCCCTCTCTCAGGGACAAAAAGAACCCACAGGATGCTCCAGATATCAAGGCATTATGAAGATATTTCACTAAGGACATTATTCAACTGATGTTTTTACATAGAAGATGAGAGACTAAAATCAGACTGTTTGCTGTAAGTTTTTCCAACCCAATTCCATCTTGTAACACATCTTCATTTTTGTCCACGCAGTCACACGTCTCCTGTTGTACTAAGCTAAAAGCAAAGTCACGTCAGCACACCAAACTCTGGGACTTATTTGAGCTACTGAAGAGCAAATATAGTACAACTGAACATTATAATAATTAAGTTAAAAGGTAATACATGCTATTTTGACATCTGGAGTTTAATTTGTGGGAATTAGGAAAAAGGCAGCGTAATACTCCGCTCCTCCCTTTAACCATCTTGTCATGCTGAATGGACTACAGTGTGCACAAGCAGAGCTTTACTACAGCATTTTCCAATTTAATTTGCAAACTCTTGACGACACGAAGAGACAGGAAATATATCATGCTTTTTTATAGCTTTTAGCTCAGTTATAACCTTTAGGACTCTCCTTTCTCCCTGTCAAACAAGCCCTGTTCATACAGGGACACAGTGGGCAAGGCGGTGATGGGTTGATGGTTGGACTTGATCATCTTAGAGGTCTTTTCCAACCTTAATGATCTCTCTGCAGCTAGAGAGATTCTGCTTCCTTGGAATCCCCTCCGATCTCCTCCTCTGCCTCCTTTTTTCTGTGTCTGTTTTCAATACAAAAGCAATTTTCAAAAACAAAGGGCTCAGTAAGTGAGTCAATAAATTCTGGATTAAGTACAAGCCAGACTGTGCCATACGCTTAATGCGAGCAGATGGAAGATATGTCTGTCTTTTCTATGAGCTCTCAGAAGATGAAGGAGAAGGAGGGGGGAAAAAAAAAATAGAAGAAGAAGAGTTTCAGAGGCAGCAAAGCCCTGATGCTGATCTCTAGGGATCCCATGGGGAAATGTACTCCTAGAGAGAGATGGATGAATGGGGGCTGCGCACAAGTTAATTTTCTGGTGTATGGCTGAGGAGGCAGAAAGGAAAATGCCAGATCATGGCAACAGAAGCAAATGCCAGAAACACAGAAAGGAAAGAAAAGTGCCACAGAAGAGAAAGGGCCCTGTTAGGCACTGACTCCCACAGGGCTCCTCACAGCAGATGCAGCACTTCTTGCCCCGTAGGCTCTGTGCTGGGTTCGGTAATGGGAGGTCAGCAGAGGAGCCTGCACAGAGTGCTCTTTGTAGGGGCTCCGGCAGGCCTTCCCCAGCTGCTGTGGGAGGCAGAGGGCAGGAGGGAGAAACACCGAGGGCTGTAAGACAGGGAGGGATAACAGAGGTTTCCCCGGGCTGCGGTGGGTTGAGCTGAGGTTTGGTAAAATGAAATGGAGGATTCAAGTTCCAGGCAAAGCAACAGTTCCCTGCAGGAGCTCAGACTGCTTACAACTATGCCTGTAGCTGCGAGTGGGGCTGCACTGTGCCTCCCAAGTGCCCCCATCTCTGAGGGCTCCTCTGCCTCCCGACCCATGGTCATGTTGACCTGAGAAGGGCCACATGCAGGTGTGATCGCTGTCAGCCTCTCCGAGATGAAATGCTTCATTTTCCTACTATCCCAGAGCTCCGTTCCCCAAAACATAACTCCATTTCTACTCTGGTTCAATTCCATCCATATTTTTCAGATCTTATTTCAGTGAAACTGAAATATAACAGAGGCCTGAGGGCTCTGTTAGAGAACTTCAAGTCAAATTTAACAAAAATAAGTAATCCTGCTACAGACCACTGGGAGTTTGTTCAAGAATCCTACACACAGCTTGTTGTGCTTTGGTTTTGCAGCTGTTCAGATCCCATTATTTTCAACCCCAATAAATTTTCTAAGACATTTCAACAGTAACAACTGAGCTCCACTCGTTCTTCCTCCTTTTAAGACTTCCGTGTTCTCCAGTTCATTCCTTCTCCCAGATTAACATCTCTAAATGAAGAAAAATACTCAGAACCTGAAAGAAGACAATTTGGAAATAGATGCAGAGGTTTCTACACTTGTCCCTCAGATCTCCAATACCACCATCACTTGGAAATGCTCAAAAGTCTTCCCCTTTCCAGCAGGATAAAACTGTGCTCTTTGCTTTCAATAAATTACAGATGGATAATTAGAGTGCTCTCCTGGATGCAGAAGATACAGGTTTGAATATTTTCAGAAGAAAAAAAAAAAAAAGAAAAATGAGCCAGACTCTTGGAGCACAGAGTAGGGCAGTCAGTCCAATAGAAAAAGTAGGAATATCATTTTTATGGCTCTCAGATTTTCTTTACTCAGACCCCAAATGCCAGGAACACAAAATATTTTATTTGCAGTAAAACAAGTTTAATAAGGGATGGTTTCCTTCCAGAGTGAAATGGAAAATATTAAAATACAGTTTGAGTCAACTAGGAACCTGAGAATGGGCCAAGAAGAAACAGGCATTTAATTGGCCAGATATCTCATCTATTTAATTCACCTTGTTCCCCATTAAGGCACTTTTTTTCTTTTACCTCCAGTCCCATTTCTGTCTCTGTACCCCACTACAGTTCCTTCCTGATTTCTTTCCATTCTATCAGCTTCCCCTACATGGGCCCAGCCACCTCACCTGCAGCCATGGCCTGCGTCCTTCCTTCCTACACAGCACTGTTCCACTAAGAACTTGGGGACCCTCGTGGATCTTCCTGCCCAACTGCTACCCTGAAGCAATGCAGCACTCAAGCAGCAGTCCACATTTCACTGGGCACCACTTTTTTCATGGGAATGAGTGTCGGCTTGAACATGTGGCAATTGGAAAGAAGAAGTTCATACTCTGGGAACGGCAAAAGCCATTTCCTTCACTTTGTAATTAGATCTCCAAGTTGGCCTAATACATGTGCTGCATAAGAAAGGTTTTTTCTCCTTAGCCTTGGATACTCCAGTTTGAAAAAGCAACTGTCCAATTCTACTAAAAGATATCCATAAGCCCATTCTGTGGCCCAAATCCTTAAGCTTACCAACAAATCAATCCCATGTGACACAAAAAGAGGCCAGCAGAGTTAAACAGTGGCTGCTGTTTATAACAAGAGTGGATATACTTTTTGCAGCTCTGGCATGGGAATGTTGTGAGCCATTTTCAATATGAAAGCAGGAACCATTTGCAGCTTCACCTCTAGCTATGGTCACAGCCATTCCCAAGAAGTCAGATGTTTCCATGCCTGTTATGCTTTGCAGGACCGTCTGGGAGTGGAAGCTCCATAGAAGCTGTGAAATGGAAATAGAGGTATCAGGGGGCTGTGGGTGTCACAGCATCTCCTATTCAAACTGTGGTTAATGATGCTGACCTCTTCTAAATGCTACAGTGAAGAGTGACACACAAGTACCTTATTATTTCTGACAAGAGAGGAGCAGTTTCTAAAGTTTTCTTCTATATTTTAGAGGAAAAGCACGTCTCTATGTTCTGGCCTGAATTAACTCCAAATTTACTGTGAAGGGGAGAAGGGGGGGAAAAAAAATGCCAGTTCTCCCATTCTGTAAAAATAAATCCGAGATCCACATGGTCAGCATCTTCCCCTGGGCCCTTCTATCCCCAATGGGAACTAAAACAGATTCCTAAAATACTCCCAGCAGGAAACACACTGGGATGTCTCTGCTCTGATACAGCATCATTGCACCAGAAGTCATACAGTTCTCATATCTAATTTTGCCCCAACAAAATTTATTTGTGGGCCATCTTATTTCAATCAATGGAAAGAAGCCCTTGTGAGCAGCTCTGCCTTCAGTTTCTTCATCGGGAAATTCCATTTGAAATTGCCCACTTCCCACCTCAGCAAATTGTTTCTAATGCCCCCAGCAAAGATCTGTTGCTCTCAGCTGTAGCAATGCAATTCTTCCTGTGACTGCACATCAAACTAGGTCTGTGAAGCGATCTGCAATTAACCAAACACACACAGCAGTGCATAGATCCACACTGCTTATCTTTGTGATTCGCTTTTCCACCCACATTCAGCCTGCTGTGTTATTGCCCAGACCTGACTCAAAGAACCTCCACTCTTAAGAGTTACTCAGCACAAGCAAGGACAAATTCAGCAAAGCGACGGTGCACGGAGCCAGGAACATTTTTTATCATAAGATATTTTATTAGAGGAATCTTACCAGGAAATCTCTAATTTGAAATGAACATAAACTTCTGAGTCAACATGAGAGGTTTTGTACAGATAAACACCCAGGCTGTAAATGCACAGGATAAATAATTACTTATTCCTCA